GAAGCTTGAAATTTTCAATATACTTTGAAACACTAAGAAATTACAGCAAACTTGGGAATTTGTCACCAATGCTTTCAAAAGGAATCTTCTGGATAATTGGAAGCCTATCAATTTGGCTCTGGTCCTGGAAAATGTGAAAGAAATTCTCCTATTACATTTAAGCTTCCTATCATTCTTTAAAACTAGTCAGCCATGATTTTTTGAAAATAGATTTTATCAACCTGACTCTTTATTCCTTTCTTTATTCTCTTTTTTGAGAGATAACAAATACAGTTTGATCAATGCCATTGTGTTGAAGTAATATATAATACACTTCTGTGAGGCATGATTTTTTGATCAAGAGACTAGACTGAAATGAAATCAATTTGATGCTTCTTAAATGGACTAAAAGCTGGCAGACAGGCTATGAAACATGACTGTAAATAGGGAATCCTCACTGAGTATGTGCCTTTCTGTTGGATCCTATAAGAACAGGTTATTAGCAGTGACTATTTAGCACTTTATTGATGCCCTAGATGGTGAAATATCAGTTTTCCACAGGACTGTGGTGCATTTAAGAGGATAGCTATCTGGTGCAGAGTGATCTGTCAGTGTTAGTAAAGTGGGTGCAAGCTGTAGTGTACCACAAGTGGGGTTTTAGTGAACTACTGTGGTTCTTGGATGAGTAATGGCAGTACTGAGTAAAGGTAGAGAAATATTTTGTACACGTACTTTGTATTGATTTTAAGGAGAAAAGGGGTTAGATAATGTCATAACAATAAAGGACTTGGAAGAATGGAATACCAAGGTCACTATCTGCTGGATTTACCAGAGGGAGGTGACCCAGTATCGTGTGCTCTGTTTAAGTACCAGTTGTGGTTCTTGGTATAGGAAGGCATTGTTCAGTGTAGCCAACATGGGCATAACAAAATGCACTGTCTGGAAAGCAAGGTTTGCCTTTGGAAAAGTGAGATAAACTTACCATTACAATAATAATAACAGTACCAATATTTTGTAAAATTAAATACTAGTTAAAAAGGGATGTGATTATGGGAAGACTTGTGTTTTTCAGATCTGAAATCTTAGAGAACATCTACCGTGTAAGGAAATATTATCCTAAATTCAGGGGGTTTTGTGCAACTTATGGCCATTTCCAAGAGGACCATGGCTTACTCTCTCCGTGCATTTATCTGTTTAGAGAACTTTGAAGCTTTATTCAGACCTCTGAATGTGGGTAGAGCCCTTCCCAAATCTTCGTTCACGAAGCCTAGCCATGAGAGAGTTGAGTTGAATGTGGATGAAACTTAATGTAGTCTTTTGCTCTACTCAGGTTTTATATTTAAGAATTGGCTTTATGTTAAAGTTTTTACTGTCAGGAATGAAAGCAGGGAAAGTCACGTGTATACTTCAGAACTTAAGAGATGCCTGAACTCCTTTCTCCTGTTGCTCTCTTACCTTGTTACTTGAGACTTCCTAACTTGCCAGGACAAAGAGACCAGGAATTTAATGTACCTATTCCTTCTGTTCTTTGATGCAGCTGGTTTTGATCTATGACTAGAGCAGCTGAATGTAGTGCTCAGCTCAGGCAAGGTTTCTGAATTGGCTAAATGCAGTGAAGAGCTAAGATGAAATTTTTATATTGGGCTAGGTGAAATTCTGCACTGCTCTTGACAGAGGTTGTACCAAAACTCTGGTGTAGAGTTTTCACATGACTGTGTTTATATTACTTCCATTTGAAAGAATTTTATGTCTCTCTGCAGAGCTGTGATTGGCTAACGTTATACAGGAATTTCTTAATGTTGAAATGGTGTGTGACAGAAAGCAAAAGCAACTTTAGTTGTTTTACAGTATTACAGTATCTACAGTATTACAGCTTAGACATCAGGGTCTGCCCAAGAGATCTCAGATGTACAGAAACAGGTTCTGCTCCACATTCTCGGGAATCAAAAAAATTTAGAAGTTTGATCTTTAGAAAGTCCATTGCATTGAAGTACAGCCCTGAGTATCTGTCCAGTCTTTGCTTATGCTGTTTCCTATTGACAGGGCTCCGAAAGTAATGCATGAAAAAGTTCTGTATCTGGAACAGTTAATGTTCATTTGCATGTTTTTAACCTTTATGCTAAAGCAATGAAAAATGCTATTCAGTTGAATCCAGGTATTTCATATAAAATTAGCAAAGTTAGTAATTATACATACCATTTCTCTATCAGTTTTGCCCGCTGGAACAATTTATCCTTCCATCCTACTAAAATTGAAAATAATGAAGCTGCCTTCCTTTGAGGAGGACTTTGAAATTACATGCCCGGATCACCTAGAAACAGAGCCAGGGGTAATATCTGTGAGTCTCAAACTGCTCTTTTATCCACTGGACCGTGCTGATGACACCATTAAATACAAAATTTGATAAGTACCCAAGTGCAAATGCATAACCAAATTTCAGGTCTTGCTGTAGGAATATACTAAGAATGATTTTAAAAACTGTGATGATAAATTATTTTTCAAATAGATTTTTTTGTTATTATTTATAAAAACATAAACAGAAAATTTGACCCTCCCTGCTTTTCCCAAGAAGATATTTACATTTTTTTCCTGTGACCATGAAAATACTTCTTTCCTCCCCATTCCAGTTACTGCATTGAAAGCCTACCCTTTGTTTAAGTTCAATTCCTGTCTTCAATTTACAGCCTACAATATGCACAGTCTATATTCTCCAGCAGTTGCAGCAACACTTACATGTTGGAACTGTTTTCTAACATCAGTGGAACTATCTCTTACATCAGTGGAACTATCTCTTCCTCCTTTTTGAAGTTATGCCTTAAAATGATCCTTTCTTCCCAGTTTTTGCCACAAATTCAATTTCTTATAAGAGCTCGTAATTTCCCAGCAATCTTAAAAAGAACATCCAGTTGCTTTCTTCTGCCCCTCACTCCCCAGTTTGTGCTGAGCTGTGCCCTCCTGATTTACAGCTGGATTAAAAGCGCCTCTGATAAAGACCTCTCTGTTGTTCAACTGGGACTTAGTGTAATGTTCTCTCTAGGTCTTTTAGTGTTACAGTCTACAAATTACCACCCTCATCTCTTTTCGTGTTGCTCTATCTTGCCAAAAGAATAAACGTGGCTGTGGCTGTCTCGTGTGTAGCCGGGACTATCAGTTTCCTCCCTGAGAAGACGAGAGTGCTCCCGCTGTGTTCGCGTCTGTATTCCAGCAAACACTGCAAACGCACCTGAGAGAACTTCTGCTCACCTCTCTGGTATCTCTGTTCAGAACATTTTGATTATTAAAGCACCTGTATGAAAGATGCTGACTGCTGAATGACCACCTTGATGGAGAAGAAATACATACCGTTGTCATAGGCATACAGGCCAAGAGAGAAATACTAATTAGGAGATTTCTGGTTGCGGTCTAGCAGCCAGCCTTAGGTGCATAAGTATTTTGTATGACCAGTAGCTATTTATGGATGATTCCTAAACACAAGCTCTGAAAGGATTAGCAAGATGTACGGTATGTGATACTTTGCCCTTTCCACAAGCACCAGGGTCACAGCCCTAAAGAACTGCAATGAGGTCATAAAAATATTCTTTTTTTCCAAGCTTTAAAGATCAGCAGTATTTGTCATGGAGCAAAATGGCATGGAAGTTGAACTTCTGTTCCCACAATTGTATTTGAGAAGTACTCATGAATCTTGACAGACTTATGAGTGATTGTAAACAGCTGAAGGAAAACAATAGGGCTGCACTGGCCATGGGACATGGGTGGGCCCCACCGTCAGTGTATCTGTGCTGATGAAGTCTTGTGTGGCAGGTAGAATATGTCAGAGAGCTGGGGCAATCACACTGCAGCATGTTTGAGCTTCAGTTCCAGCTGCTCCTCAGCTGCTCAAATGCTTTATCTGAAGAAATGTATTAAATAAAGTGCATTGTGTGTGGTTTTTTTTGAAGAGGCTGAACTGTGTCTTCTCATGATGCCAGTTCACATCTAAGAACATTCTGGCTGTCGTAGCTTTAACCTCAACCCACTCCCTTAGTTCAGGGAAGCACATGTTGCCAGCTCAGGGGTGGCTCACAGAGGTGTAAATACAGATGGCTTTATGTGTATATGCATTCATATATGTATGTTTATAGCTCAGTGTTGTATTAACATGAATATAATTAACTGGGGAAAAGATAATTCCTGGAGAAGTTGTCTAGGACTAAAGGTCTTCCATGGCCCAGAGCAGAAAAGCTTACAAAGGGATGAATTTTCTTGATGCCAAGACCTTATTTCATAAAATATGAAGAGAAGATACAGAATTGGAGAAGCAGGATATAAAAAACCGAAGTGGTGAGATTGTTGACAGTGGTATTTGAGGATAGACTGATGAAGGGAAGAAATAATTTACTACCCACTTACAAATTGCAGAGGGAAAGAAATAGCAATCCTGCATGCCCTGATATGACAAAGACACTTCTGTCTGTAACTAACCAAAAATCTACTGCTGTTTTGTGATTCCAAGTAGCTGAATCAAAATCAGTAAAACATTTTGCTTCTTTTAAATGCACTTGCCTGTGGGTAGAAAATGTTTCCTGATGTCTCCTAAATTCTTTAAGTGGTGTTTCTATGAGTATATGAAGATGTATTCTGCACAAAGGAATACTGTAGTCTGGAATCTGTGTTCTGGAGTCATGTTGTCTGACAAATTTCTTTATAAGACATGAGAAGCTAAATAGTTACATTGAAAAGGCTTTAAATTTAAAATTTATTATGTTATTAAATTACATATGTATAATTTTTAAGGAAATAGTATGTTGATCTGTAGATAATTGAGAAGATATTAGTTCTGTAAAAAGACCTCATTTCTGGAAATTTATTAGTTAGGGCTAAAAAGCTGTTTATATACTAAATCTTTCATATCCCACATATATTAAATGCAGTGTACTCTGTCTATAAAAATCTTTTGCGGCTTACTGTTTGATCTGAACACCATGTAGTAAAAAGTTCTGCTGAGATGAAATTCTGTGTAATTGAAAGCCCAAATGAAGAAGATGCCTAGTAGGGAAGGAATAAAATGCACAAACTATAAGTAAATAGATATGCTGAAAATAGTGTATGAGGTGTTTTTCATTTCTACAAACTGGAATGCTAATTTCAAAGAAGAAACTACAAAAAATGAAAAGAAATTACAACCACTGTCACACTCAAAATATCTATGTGAAAAAAGACAGGTAAAAGAAAAGATGAGATCACAAAAGAGGTACTTTTGCAAGAAAAAAACCGACTCTTACCAGACTACAAGTAAAATCCAAATGTGGTGAAGAGTTTACTGGCCTTTAGAAATTAGGTACTTTAAACAGTGAAGGGAATTTCATAGTCCAACAGTACTGGATAGGTGGGAAAGATTGTATCCTATTTATTGCATTTTAATTTCTGTATCAGTCAAGGTACGTAATTTTCAGGAAAAGAGGTGTAAGCTGATTATCTGGTAATACAGACATCGCATTTTGATGTTTAATTTGCAAATGTTCATGAGCTAGAACATTTCACTAAGCAGCTGATAGTGTGAGGAAGAGTTAAAGCTGTGGGTTCAGCCTCCTGCTGTGCAGGCAGTGTGTTGGTGGAAGCAGCTGCTGAAGAGTAAGACAGATCTGGAAGTCAGGCCCCTGCTACATCAGCTTGGAATGAAATCAGTACGTGGATAAGACGGGTTTTTGGTTGTCCCTGTTCTTCAAGGAGATACATGCATGGCAAGGATTTGATGAGTGGGATTGTTAAACTATATCTGAGCAGTGCTACACAGGGACATAAGGCTTTGTATCCCCAAGTCTCCAGAGGGAACTACAAGACAACAGGATTAACTGTCAGAGTGGATTCGCTCTGTAGACAGAAACTCTTTTCTACATGATTGGAATAGATAATTGATGGAAGATCAGATCATGTAGACTTCTGGAACAGAATAGTTTTTCACTTTTTCTCATTACAGTCTTTGTCATGAAAACATATACTTTATGCCATTTTCTGGTCTCCTTACAGTCATTACACTGGGAGTGTTATTACTTTTAATTTTTCCAATTTTTACATTCCTAAGGCCTGATATAATTATTTTCTTATGATAAATTCTCTGTTTCAGTGTCTTTATAAAGAAATTAACATTGGTGGAGTTTGGTAAGAAATCATATTCTTTCCTGACAAGCTAAAGATGGTATTGTTTAAAGAAATAATTATCTTAGGATACCATTTCCATTAAGACCTATTTTTAGGCACTGGTTAAATGTAAGAAAAAGTAGTGATCAGGACTTTCCATAGACACTGAGAAGGGAAGGAGCTGTATTTCTCTAGTCTGACTTTGAGCATGAAAGAGATCCAGGGATTCTTGCATCTGACTCTCTGTATTGCTAGAAAGTCATCTAGCTTTGATCTGCTGCTGGCAAATGATGGAGAATCTAATACAAGCTTTTGGAGAGCAATCCAATGACTACTTAACTGGGTGAAACCCAATGAAATTCAAAATAACTGGAATAACTTTCTATTTATGGCATGAATTGTCTGTAACAGGCATGCAACCTTAAAAAAAAATCTTAAAAGTTTAAAATCTTTAGAAAGGGATAGTAGGTTTGAAGAAGAATTAATAGACAGATGTCCTTTGGTTTCTGCTACACTGGATTTCTCATTTCATAAACTCTCATTATCCAAACATATGCCTTATTTCTAGACTGGAACTGTCTAGTTTTAATTTCTAGATTCTGCATTTTTTACAATCTTTTTGTCTTTTATATTATTTATTCAACTTCAAAATAATTAGCAAGGATGCCTATCCCATGTATGCATGGTTTGTAGGAGGCACAGATTTGTTTGAGTGAGGTCATTCAGCACCTTCAGTTCCCACCCCAGTCAGGGTCAGGGGGATTAAAACCCACACAGAATTCTAAATTGTCTGTAGTTGCTAAAGAATATTAATTGGATGAAGCTGTACACCAAAGATCAGCAACACTTCCGTCTCTTCTGTACGTCAGGTACCCGATGATAGCAAATGCCCTTGAAACAAAGTTAGACTGAGAAATCCAGCAGTGGGTGTTGTATGTTGGTACATGTGTGCTCCTGGAGCTTACTGGTATCCCATTAATTGGATGTTGCTGAGTTATATAATGTCCATATATAATCTCCCATTCTTATAACATTTTCTGGACACCTATGGTGATGTTTGACATTGGCCTGTAACAAGCTGGCTTGTGCTTTCAATTTCATGTCCATTAAAAACAAGCCTTAAAATGGGCTGCCCCCTTTTGGGGACAATCAGACTTTGTTTCAGTTGTTTCAAAAAGCAATCACAAGGAGAATTACCAATAAACTAGAGAATTCTGAGCAGAGCAAACCGCTGCAGTGCAGAACATAATTCATAGAAAGCATTTGACAATAGCATTTTTGATGATTCATTCTCCTGACTCAGATGGCAGAGAGAACTAGGCATGGGAACAGTGTATCTTTGCAATAAAAGAATGAGAAATTACCGGGTCACACTTGTTGTGATGACCCTGGAAATGACAGCAGGTTTTTCTGGTGGCCATTCTGGGCCAGGTTGTGATGGGTCAGGGAGAGAGAGACAGCACAGTCAGTAAATTTATGAATACAATATAGATTATTGAAGGATGTGGGGAAAATGTCTAGCCAAGTATAGCTGATGACTTTTCTTATAAGTTTGTCTGGTAAAGATAATTTCACATGCTGTAGGGTATGCAATATTGTGTGACATCCTAATTTTTTCATAAATTGTTCTCTGAGATGGGGCAGTTCTGCATGAGATTGTTTTCATAGTGTTGTGTCTTGTATTTGCATTACTCTGTGACTAACTAGCGGTGAGGTCTGCCTGAAGCTTTACGCACTGCTGAGCTGCAATAAAATCTCTCCGCCCCGTGAGCACTCCAGTATCTGACATTGTGGTTGTTTTAATGGGATTATTTTTTCTTGTACAGGGACTCCAAGTTGGGCCTCCCTTGTCTGGCAGCATCTGTCCAACTTGTTGGATTTCAGTAGGCTGGTGATGCCTGCATCTTTGTCGAGTTTAGCTGAGGGCAGCCTGCCCGTTTAAAAGCATGGGGACAAAAGTGCCAGTGTTCTGACAATCCTGTTTTTCAAGGAATCCAGCCTAAAATGAAGAACACTAAATTAGTGTAGCTCTTGGTAACCGGATTAAAGCTAACTACCTTCAAAGGAATTGCTATGCAGTGCAGTCTTCCCAGGAAGGATCCTATTTTGGAACTTTTTTACCTGAATTGAGGTGGGAACAAAAACCATGTGCCTTGTGCCTGCGTTTACAAATCTCACATCCTGCGTGATCCAGCTAGATGTGCCTGACAGCCCCCTGCACACCACAAGTACATCTCTATTGACACGCTGAGTTGGAGACTGTAAGTATTCCAGAAACAGAAGGATCCCTTTTCTGGGGCAGCCGTGGCCCCATTTTTAGTCCAGTCAGAAGCCTTTTTGCTGTCTGCTGCTGAGGAGACCTTCAGTAAGAGGGTGACAAGGTGTGGGATGCACAAGTGTCTGTGGTAGCTGTGCTCAGGGCCTGTGCAAGAAATGTTCAGAGGTGCTGTGTGAGATATTTTCCAGTGACCCTCAGCTTTCCCGCACTCCTGATCCTGCCGAAGGTGTGTGGTGGTTCCCGTGTGTGCCTGGCCTGCTGATTGGGGCCACCTGTAGCTTGGCTGCAATGTGGGCACACACAAACTCTGGCCAAGTGACCTGGTGACACGATGGCAGGTGTCCAGCCCTGCCACTGGAAGGAGGTGGGAGCTTACTTGGCCTGGGACAACCAGCACCAGTGCTGTGAACAGACCCTTCAGTTGGAGTGCAAGGTACGGATGTTTTTTTTCTGGCTATTGCCACTTTGAGCTGGTCTTCAGAGGATGGTTGAGGTTTATTTTCGATGAAGCATAGGAAGGTCCTTGAAACCCAGGGAGAATGAAGGGAGATGGGCTGATACAGATTCCTTCCTATCTTTAATTTTGTTGTTTTCACTGCTGCCTCTGTGCATTTGTGCATACTAACTTCACAAATGCCTGGCAGTCTGTAAACTTTACATCGTCTTTCCTTCAAAGTTGGCTTAACCTGACTGGGGAGTCTTCCGCAAGGCTATATGAGTCACAAAAAGTAGCAATATGCTAAGTTAAATACAGTAAATGATTTATCTCCTCTCCCTCTGGTTTGTGTTTTGAAATGTACGCTGCGCGGTTTGATAGCTTCCTACCACTGCTGCCAGGCCACCTGTCCCGCACCATGGCCAAGTCTTTGTCTCCAAAAATACCACTGCAGCTCAGACAAACAGCTTGGCAGCCATGCCAGGGAAGACCGTTAAAATGACAATCTCGTATCGCCACAGTGGGAGAGAAAGATACATTACATGTCTGACCCAACACTTCAGAACTGCAGAGCCATGTCTAAAATGCATGTAGTGAGCTGATCAGCCTCTGGAAACAGGCATTGTGTGGCATCACAATAGTTAACAATAGTACTACTGCTGTCTGTGATATAGTCTGATTTTTTTTTTAATCAGTCACTCAAGTTATTAGCACTGGTGAATTAGGCCTTTATCCCTTGCCACAAACACTGGAGCGAGTCCACAGAAGGGCAACAGAGCTGGTGAAGGGGCTGGAGCACATGTCCTATGAGGAGCAGCTGGGGGAGCTGGGGTTGTTTAGCTTTCAGAAAAGGAGTCTGAGGGGGGACCTCCTCGTTCTCTACAACTACCTTAAAGGAGGTTGTAGCCAGGTCGGGGTTGGAGTCTTCTCCCAGGTAACAGGTGACAGGATGAGAGGAAGTGGCTTCAAGTTGGATTGGGGGAGGTTTAGATTAGATATTAGGAATAGCTTTTTCATGGACAGGGTTGTAAAACATTGCAAAATGCAGCCCAGGGAAGTGGTGGAGTCACCATCTTTGGAAGTGTTCAAGTAATGTGGATATGGCACTTGAGGACATGGTTTAATGGTGAAAATTGTGCTGGTGCTGAGTTGACAGTTGGACTTGACCTTAAAGTTCTTTTCCAACCATAACAATTCTATGATTCTATGAAACCCAGTGCTTTCTCTCTGCTTACTCTTTCTTTTTTGCCTGTTAGTGAAGGTATTGTAAGTATGTAATGCCATGTGCTGGTTGCAGGCAGTCACTTGAGTTTTCAAAGAAGTAGGTTAAATGTAAACAGACAATGAAGTGGGTGACCCACTGAGATTTAGGTCTCCAGAAACATTAGGGTTGCCTCTATGCTTATGTTGCTGTTCATGTGGTTTATATAGACTTGGCCCATGTGTTTCCATAACCAAACTAGCTAGCAGCAGCCCAGGAGACAGCAGGGAACCTGGTGCTGGCAGCACCCTCCCTGGATAGAACTGTTAGTGCTGAGCTCTCCAGTGCCATGGTAGTGGTGACCCACCTGCTGGCCCATGGGAGCTGGAATCGCAGTCACTGGGACTGTGGACGCTTCTCTTGTGTTGAACGTCAAAGAGGGAGCAAGAGAATGGAGTTGCAGTCACTTAGGATTTATTTGCTGTGTAGTTGGGTGTAGCTGAACTTTTTCCACAGAGCTGCAGGGTGAAAAAACCCAAATGGGATGCAGCTCCTGCAAGGCATCCTTGTCCCTGGCAGCAGCAGCTTCTGGTGTGCAGTGGAGGGACTTCAGGGATGACATTTCCTCACTAATGGGCTCTGCAGAAGGCACTACTTTGCACACCTCAGTGATGGGCTGTCCAATATCCCCTGGGTCAAGGCCAGTAGATTGTGAGAGAGATGTGGCAAAGACACTTTGTAAGTGCACAGCATTCAAGGGGACAATGTGAGGGAGGCAAAATACCTCAAGTGTCTGCCTACGTGCAGATAGAATAAGGAAACATGCCTGTTAAAACAAAAGGTCTGGGTTGCTTGTTTGGTTTTAAGAAACTTTGCATCCTCCCATTGAAAGAAGCCCTTGGAGTGAAAGGAGTGGAGTTGTGAACTTAATATTGTTGGCATCTGTTTCTACCAAGGTTACATAATTGCTGTTTTCCTGGGAAATGAAATCATGGAAATAAAAAACTAAATTCACCAGAGCATAAGCAGGCACAACTTTGATTTCAGGCACCTGTCTGTGCCAGTATTTAATTTGGCACAGGAAACATAGCATCAAAACGAATATGAAGCAAGTAGCACAGAAATAATGGTGCTACTGGCATTCAGACAGGGAGATGTGAGAACAAATACATCCCTCCCCATCATGGGAAACCTCACAGTACACAGTGTGTATGGGGGATGAGGCCAATAACAGGAGCAGGCAGGGAGAGTCCTGTGCAGCAGGAATGGTGGGGCAGTTGGAAAATACACTTACAGAATTCCAATAAACCGCATCTTAAATGAATTGGATGGAGAGAAGGGCAAGCTGCAACCAAAAAAGAGAATCTGAAAGGCTGTAAGACCTTTCCTCTGTCTTACCTTAGTAATTATCTCTTGTTTGCAGAACTTCCATTAATTGGAATGCATTTCCTAATGAAATTAGGCTGGCAGCCAGTATTCAAGTCTTTTTACTGCTAGGGAAAATTTGTTCTTTGAACAACTCAGCCATTGATTTTTATTTGTGTTTTCATTCATCATGAGACTGTTACATGCCAAAAATTCCACACTCTGTCATATTGCCTTGGACAGTCTGAGTTATTTGATTTATTCCCTTGCTCTCGTGTCTCAAAAACAGAATTCTACAGCAGTGCCCCATTTGTAGTTACTTTGCTGTGTGGTTTTCACACATCCCTTTTTTTCTTCGTTTTAACTACCTATTTGTTGGGACAGCACGAAATGCATGGCAGTGCAAAGGCACTAAGAATCCTAAATTAAAAAAGAAAAGGTGTTAAAAAATAGGTTACAGTGACATTTTTATTGTGGGATTTCTAAATTTAAAAAGATTTTCAAACTTACCTTGTTTATAGGCAGTACAGGAACTGGACTATATCAGTGCAGAAGAGCACTTTTTGAAGAGAGATCTTTGCAAAGTGAAACTGTCAACAATTTTACTGGAAGGGGTCAAAACCCTGTGCAAACCTGAGACAGTCTTTGATCTGTACTTTGCTTATCTCTTTGAAGAAAGGTGGGACTGGAGACAGGAATTACAGCATTATTTGGATGTAGTGTCTTCACTTCTTCAGCCAAGTCAGGACTGAGTATTGCTCATGTGTGCAAACTGCCTTGTCTATCTTACTTGGCAGGATATGGTTTGATATACTGACAGTATCTGCATACACACTTTACCCATCAGGCTGAATTACTTCCAAAAATTAATCTCTCTGTTATGTCCTCCCTACATGATAATATCTGTACTGATCACCCTCCATAGCAAATATGAATCTTACAAAATGCATGCAGCCATTTTAAAACAGACTTTAAGAAATTGATTGGCTGATCTCCTTTCTCATTCAGCACATAGGAAGAACAGTGAGCAAGGCTGAAAGTTAGATGAAGGGAGAATGATTTGAGTTACCTCCAGCTCAGAATGATCGAAAATATGAGACTGGCTTTAAAATCAGTTTTTGAAAAGCAATATGCTTAAGGGTTCAATCTTAGTTTCTTTGATGTCTGAGACTTAAATGAGTGCACTCAGTTTACCTTTACAGATTGTTTCAGCACATGCTAGCAGAAATAGTTGTGAATTAAATCTTAGTCACCCACCATCTATAGCAACTAGAAGTAGGGACAAAATCAGTATTATAGCACCTGTGACTGAAAATAGGAGAGAAAAAACCCCAGTCAAATTCTGTACTTTTTAGGACTTTACTGCAGTTTCTGGAGCAATGACATTATTTTCTTCAGCTTTCTAAAGCTTCAAACTGTGTGTGTATATTAGACTTGTATACATGCAAAGGAACTCACACACTTGGTATTACTTATTTAAACAAATATAATTTTCTTAGTTGTAGTAAAATTCTTTTTCCTTATGATTCAAGCAGTTTTGTTTCCTATCCAGAAAGTAAATAGTCATTTTCAAGAGACAGACTGTTACTGTAAGAAATTGCACTGAAAAATTATACTGAGAACCCCTTAATACCTTGTATATTATGAATGGTGTGAACAATTTAGTGACGTTGCCAACACATGCCTCTGGTGAGAAAGTCAGCCAAGAGTCCCTCAGCTGCTGGGCTGAGGCTGTAGACTCTGCACAGCTGTGATGGAATTGTGTGTACAGGGAGTATGAGCTTCAAGAAAGACTGGTGGACTAGTTTAGTGGGATGTTCAATTAGAACAGTTCACGAAGAAAGGCAGCCCTTAGATCAAGCAAAGAACGTTTCTGCGATTATTGGAACAAACAAAAGAGGCTTTAGGGCTGTCTTTCACTGGAAAATGATAAGGAAAAAGAAGGAACGTTACAGAAGGTGGTTTTCTAAGGGGAAGGAAAGAATCATAGAATCACAGAATATGCTGAGTTGGAAGGGACCCACAAGGATCACTCAGTCCAACTCCTGCATAGGACCATCCCCAAGAGTCACACTATGTACCTGAGAGTATAATCCAAATGCTTCTTGAACTCTGTCAGGCTTGGTGCTGTGACCCTGGTGAGCCTGTTCCAATACCCAACCACCCTCTGGGTGAAGAACCTCTTTCTAATATCCAGTCTAAACCTCCCCGACACAAAATTCATGCCATTCCGTTGGGTCCTGTCACTGGTCACTACAGAGAAGAGATCAGTGCCTGCCGCTCCTCTTCCCCTCACGAGGAAGTTGTAAACTGTGATGAGGTCTCCCCTCAGTCTTTTAGAACTTGTTTCATTAAGTTGTCATTCAGGTTTTTTAGGAATTTTCTGGCCTGGGTTGTACCAGCTGTGTGATGCTCCCAGTTAATTTCTGGCGAGTTGAAGTCCCCCATGAAGACAAGGGCAGTTAATTTGCAAGGGTCCCTTAGCTCCTCAAAGAATAATTGGTCAGCGTCATTGTCCTGGCTGAGAGGTCTATAGCAGACTCCCACGATGATATCCGCATTATTTGTTTGCCCCTTGATTCTTAACCAGAGGCTCTCAACTGTGCCTTTGCCAGCTGTGAGCTCCGTACATTCTAACTCTTCCATTATATGGAGTGCCACCCCTCCACCTCTTCTGCCCTGCCTATCCATCCTGAACAGCCTGTGACCATCCAACAGAGTGGTCTGTCAATCCTGTGACTGACAGGACTCATCCCACCAAGTTTTACTTATGCCAGTAATGTCAAATCTCTGGGACTGGGCTAAAGCTTCTAGCTCCTCGTTTGCTCCTCATGCACATATATTTGCATCAGGTTGTTGTAACTATTCTCTGAAGACACGCAACAGAATTTTTCCCTCTCTAGCTGTACAGTTAAATCCTGGTAACCACTTTTGAAACAATGTGATTATCAGATACCTAGAGTACAGTTCATAACAGCATGAGATATTACAGCAACTTGAATAGGCTTTCTGGTCATACATTACAAGCATGGGGGGGGGCGTGTTCCTCTAACATCGGACTTGATATAACTCTCCATTGCAGTGCTCTCTAACAAGTCCTGGCACTACTGTGAAAATTTCAAATAAATGTCTTAGTCAATCAGTTCTTCAGGTTATTGACTACTGACCAGCTAATATTCCTCAGCACACTTCCCATCTATAATGAAGAATATAATATATGTATTTCTTTGTAGTATTAATTTCCTTCTGGTCTTGGGATGCTGTAGAAAATCTAACAGGCTGTAGCTCATAGTTGTAGTCTTTTCCTGAATGTTATAAAGCAAACAAACAGGCCACCTCCTTTCCTAAAATTGCAGTAGTAAGATCAGAAAGTGACAGAAGGTTTTCAAGGATTGTTTCCCTCTCTATGTACAGCTGGCTCCTGGCTATCTTTCCATTCAAATTGAAATGGCTAGAAAAAAGGTGGTGTATAGATGCAGAAGAAAATAACTGTGGAAAGAACATGTAGTATTTTAATGATGCTAGAAATATATTGCCACTGGGAAATGTGCTGTTTTGCGGTGTTGAAATGATGAACTCTCTCTTTAGGTTCGGAAATTCCATGACTATGGATGTTTTTACAAGAGCAGTTTCTGCTTTCTCCTCTGACCATGTTGTCCCTATCTTAAATATGTTATGCATAAATATGGAAGAAGAGAGAAATACAGATACAGCATGTGGGTTGTGACTGGATTGTGAAATTTAACTAGCATACGAACACAGTGCCAGAATAAGATCATATTTGACTGCTGGAACATTTACTTTTCCCAGCAAAACATTTACTTGCTTTTTATTATTCTTAATAAATGGAGAAAGGATGTAGATTTGTGTTTTGCCTGCCTGTCTTTCCCATGAGGTGTTTATATTTTATAAATAAAACAACAAAA